TCCCAGCTCAGCGTATGCTCAGTCCTTTCCCTGCCTTTGCCTCCATACACAAAATGGCGCTCAATTCGGCTCTAGGGGGGCTGACTGGGCTGTGAAATCCACCCTTTTCTCACACTTCCTGTCTGGGATCTGCTGCTCTGTCTCTGCTCCTGGTCAAATCAAACGGACCAGCAGGACGGACTGTTCTTTGTCTGGGTTCACCTCCCAAGCTCCCAGTGAAAGTCCCTTCCCATGTGGTTGTTGGTGGAGTTCTGGCTGCTGGTGGAGTTCAGATTGCTGTTAGCTGAATGCCGCTGGAGTATCAGTCACTGCAACACCATACTGTTGTGTCCGCCGCTTGCTGTGTCTGTCAGTCTCCAGGTACCCTTCTGCTGTTGTTCTGTCCTCTCCTATTTCATGGAATGTGTCTTCTCTGCTTCATCCTGATTAAATGTTTCTCCGTCCATTAAAAAAAATATCTAGTAGCTTCTCTTAGCTAATAAGGTAAGACCCAAATTATATGACCTAGACCCCAGAACCCATTATATTCTCTTTGCCTTGCCTTTTCTCATGGTCAGCCATGCCAGGGTATGTTTGTTTTGCTTTGCCTGACTCTGGAGTTCTGTTTCCTATGTCTAGAAGGTCCTGCTTGTGTCCCTAAAGGTGAGCCTCTGGTCTTTCCATGGCCTGTGTTTCTGTCCCTTGTGTTACATGATACTTGTTAATCCATCTCTTCAGTATTGTGCTGTCTCCACATAGCAGCACTGCTAGTCTTAGTGTCAGGGTTAGGGGCTGTTTCTTACTTGATTTTCACATCCCTACTACATAGCACATAATGACCAGTGAAAGAATGTAAGGCTATTACAAAGAGAAGTCAGGATCAGTTCATGTGAAGGGTTAAGTGTCAGAACAGAAATGCTTTGTTTTGAGATGCACTAATCAGTCACTGAATGTTTTCGAGCAGAGTAAAATAGATTCCATGCGCAATGGAATATATTAAATGGGAAGATGGGCCTGGCACCATGGCCTAGCGGCTAAAGTCCTTGCCTTGAAAGCACTGGAATCCCATATGGGTGCTGGTTCTAATCCCGGCAGCTCCACTTCCCATCCAGCTCCCTGCTTGTGGCCTGGGAAAGCAGTGGAGGATGGCCCAAAGCCTTGGGACCCTGCACCGTCTCTCGCTGCGTGGGAGACCTGGAGGAGGTTCCCGGCTCCTGGCTTCAGATTGGCTCAGCTCTGGCTATTGCTTCACTTGGAGAATGAATCATCGGATGGAAGATCTTCCTCTCTGTCTCTCCTCCTCTATGTTTATCTGACTTTCCAATACAAATAAATAAATTTAAAAAATAAATAAATAAAAGGGAAGAGAATTCAAGCCATTGGGACAGTTCCAGTGGGCAGGAATATAGGTTGAGTCAGGGTAATGATGCTGAGAGCAACAAAGGGTATCTGGCGGGCTGGTGGTTGCAGGAGGCTGGCAGCAGCTGTTTGCGGATTGGGAGAGACATGGGCATACAGTGCAGATGGAGAAAGATCTACAGAAGATTCCTGGCTCAGGGATATTACTTGCATTTTTATTTTCCGCAAATTATTGTAAGCAATCATAAGCATAAGCAGTTCTGTGAGTCAGTGAAGTGTTAAAATCATTTTAAAAAGAGCTGTAGGCCTTGGGCTGATGTGAGTATGCCTCTGCCTTCAGTTATGAAATCACTTTTAGTTGAGCTCCTGTAAGGTTTTAACTTTGAAACATTGAAGCATTCTTTATGCTTCATGAATTACTAACAATTCTAGATTCTATCAAGTTAGTAGTTTCTAATGTTGCTTACTACTTGTTCAAGCTGTTTGCTTAAAAAATTCAACCCTCTTCACCCACATCCAGAACCCACTATGCACAAAAAAAACTTTTTTAGACTTTATTTGAAAAGCACATTTGCAGGTACAGCATATAGTATGGTGGGCAGTTTTGGGCTGGACTGCAACACGCATTGGTTTGTGTAAAAGACAGAGATGGAGTCAGAACTGACGTAAGCAGTTGCAACCATCAGCATGTGCGTGAGCCGATTGGGGCGACGGACTGTGCTGGACCGTGTATTGGCGAGCACACACAAGAATCAGGTGTGGGATCACCTCAGATGAAGTTTCTGTGGGATCCCCTACTCCCCCCCACCCCCCAATGAATTGCTGGATTCAGAACCCCAGCCATGGAGAAAATTGCAGGTTCCACGATCTGCTCATGGAGTGCCTGGTTCAGAGCTGGGCCTCCTCAGTGGCTCAGATGGAGCAGCAGACAACATATCCAAATGCTCATGGAGGATATGGCAGTACATTGGGAGTCCATAGAGGACTCCTGGTATCATAACAGGAGCCAGAAGACAGAAAAATCGATCAGCTGCTCCAGCCAAGTGTTGGCAGTGAGTCTCCTGGGCAAAAAGAGACTCTAAGGTGGACTGTGTCAACCAGTGGATTTTGGAGAGATTTCACCGTGCTTGGAGTGGTGAGATTGGCAGTAATTCAGAACTACTGAATTATCAAAACCTAATGAGCAGGACCCTCAGAGTGTGCCCCACATCGGGGACCCTGGGGTGGTGTCAGGTTGCTCTCCTCCATCCCAGGGTGCAGAGGCATTTGGGAGGCTGGGTGTGGCTTCTCTGCTTGTCTCACCCCTTCCCTCAGATACAGGAAGGAAGAAAAGAATGTGGAAATTGTGATATCCACCTTTCTGGAGCCCTTGACCCTAATCACCCTAATCAGCTATGTAAAGATTATCATCAAAGAAAAACAAGTGCAGTATACAAGATGGGCAACATTCAGAACATGTACTGACATGGAGGACAACTCAGTGATATTGTAGTGATATTGTGAATGGATGGAGACTACTGTATGATAAGAATGGTACAAACATCATTTTGAGGCAGCTTCAGTGAAGTGCAAATGCTGGCATTGCCCATGAACAGTTAGCAGGTTAGGTTTTTTTTTAAATTATTTTCTAATAATCTTACTTAGTTGATTAGGATACAAAGGGTCAAGGGCTACAGAGTGAAAGTGGGTAATAGCATTGTTTCCACACTAATATTATCATTTTCCCCTGTATCTGGGGTTAGGGGAGAAACAAAGGGAAAAGTCCCACCCAGCCTCCCACCCATGCCAGATCCCCAGTGGGAGGTGCGCTCCGAGGGGCCTGCTCAAACAGTTGTGATAGTTCATCAGTTCTGGATTGCTGCCAATCTCACCATCCCAACTGCAATGAAACCTATTCAGAGTCCACTGGCTGACAGTCTCTTCATGGTTGGGGTTCTAAGAGCAGGTTAGGTTTTACAAAATAAAACAGCTGAAGCTTGATCACTGACCCAATTTTATTTGCCTTAATGCTTTATGCTCCACATTTATATAAGAAGATCACACAATTAATAGTTTTAAAAGGCACACACAGGGCCCGGCGCGGTGGCGCAAGTGGTTAAGGTCCTTGCCTTGCACGCCCGGGATCCCATATGGGCGCTGGTTCTATCCCGGCAGCCCCGCTTCCCTTCCAGCTCCCTGCCTGTGGCCCGAGAAAGCAGTCGAGGACGGCCCAAAGCTTTGGGACCCTGCACCCGCGGGGGAGACCCGGAAGAGGCTCCTGGCTTCGGATCAGCATAGAACCAGCCGTTGTGGTCACTTGGGGAGTAAATCATCGGAGGGAATATCTTCCTCTCTGTCTCTCCTCTCTGTATATCTGCCTTTCCAATAAAAAAATAATAATAATAATAATAATAAATCTTTTTAAAAAAAGGCACACACAAATGAAATAGGAAAAACTGATCTCTGTCCTTGGTTTTTCCATTCCCAATCATATACTTGTACTTTTTCACCCCATGGGAAGAAAGCCCTTGATGCTCAGAACTACCAACAATAGGAAGAGCAGAAAAATGTGCTGGGTTTTTTTTTTTTTTTTTTGAGAATGGGTTACCTCCCTTTGTAGTGGGTATTTCTTTGGGGTATATGTATAATACACACACACACACACACACACATTTATTTTGTCTGAAAGACAATGTTAGAGGATGTACATGTGAGTGAGCTTTCAGCCACTGGTTCACTCCCCAAATGACTGGGGTAGGCTGAAGCCAGGAACTTCATCTGGGTCTCCCATGTGAGTGACAGGGCCTAGATAAGCTGGACCATCTTCCACTATCTTCCCAGGTATACTTGAAGGTAACTGGCTTGAAGGTGGAATGGGGTGCCGGGGGGGACTTGAACTGGCACCCGTATGGGTTAACAGCATTGTACATACTGCTCAACTGGCTGTGCCACAATACTGGCTCCTGTAGTGAGTTCTTAAAATTGTTCTCCATGTGTGCAGGTTTCTGGTCAGATGTATCACATATGGCATAGGGTGCAATAGGTTGGTGTCTTCAGAAAGGCTTTCCTAGAGGTCTCCTGTGGCTCGCACGAAACACCAAGGGCCCTGTGGAAGTGGTGATGTCTTCTGAAAGTCTTGAGTAATTTTTGTACCAGATGCTGGAGAGGAATGTGGGAGTCAGAAGTTTGGTGGGCTTAGAGGACGTCTAATTTCAGAGTGCCACAATTCCAGGCCTGTTCTTGACCCCTCCAGAAGAGGGTACACTCTTAGAAGCAGTTTTTTTGCAGCTGCATCCTAGGAGCTTTTCCCCCAGCCAGTTTATGGGCAGCCTGTTTTGGTCACAGCCATGATGTAAAGCCCTCCTTCCTCACCCCCTTCTCCCATGGCTTGAGCTTGGGCAGCTGGAGGTGGCACTGCAAATGCCTGCACGAAGGCATTTTTGGTGCATAGCTGCTTCCTCCATTTTCTACTCCTGTGGTGACGGGGGATGGGACTCTCAATGTGGGAGGATTGAGGTTGGTATCTCATTTGTGCTCATTTAATTATAATTCCCTCCTGTCTACCCAGGTTTTTAGAAGTGTCCTCATAAAACTTAGAAATAAAAAATTCCTGTTAAAGAATTGGTTAAACATGTTTATAAATATGTTTGAGTGCATTCAGAAACAAAAACTCTTCTGTTTAGTATGATCCAGAACTGTCATCACGCCAGTTTGGGGTTGAGCTGTCCCGCTTGACCAGTGAAGACCGAGCTGTTCCATTGGTGGTGGAGAAGCTCATCAACTACATTGAGATGCACGGGTTGTACACAGAAGGCATCTACCGGAAGTCCGGTTCCACGAATAAGATTAAGGAGCTTCGGCAAGGTCTAGATACAGGTGAGCTAGAACCCTCCGAATCAACACCAAATGCCAGTGTTTATAGAAGCCACATCAGGCTCTTCATGTTTTCCTTACATGTAGATTCTTAGTTTTTCCTGTGGTGCTTGTGTTCCATCTTGTGACTTTCTGAAACATCTTTCATTTTATGTGTCAGTTTTATGTGATTGTTCAGATCGTTGTTAGGTAATTGAGGCTGACCTCTTTAATCTTACAACGGTCCGGTAAGGTATTGATTCCTATAGTTTGCAAAGAGGAAAATGCAAGATCAGAGAGTCACGGAGTGGGGGATGATGGCTTTGTAGTAGTCCTCATGGCACTTGTATGAGCTAGGGAGGGTCGTATTCCCTTACAGGCAAGTAGAACCAGGCTGGCAGTTTCATCACTACTAAGTGACCAAACTGGGATTTAGCCCTGTTCTTTTGAAATCACAGACTAAGTTATTGCCTGTTCATCTTATTTTGACCCCAGGGGACACTCCCCGCTGTATTTGTGCAGAAGACTGGCCTCAGACCTGCAGTGTGTGCAGGCAGCTGACTGTGGCTTCATTCTCAACCTTCACTGTGTATCCCTGAAATGAACAGATGCAGAACTAGTCTGTCTGTGGCCATGACCCTACCCACAATACTACTTCTTATTAACTGGTTCATGTGAAGTGCATTAGTGTTGAAATGACAGGAGAGGACTTTAGGTAAGAGGCTCTGCCAGCTAGAGGCCTGGTCAGCTCCAGTTTACAGGCACTTGAGCAGAACAGGTGAAAATCATTTGTGGCTAAACTTTCCAACCCTAAGCTGTGCATCCTTCAGGTTAAAGATTCCCTCTAGATGTCTTGAGTTTGTGTCTCACTGTCCTTTTATCTCTTAAGAACTTAGAAACCAGTCTCGCTTTTAGAAATTGTTTTGTAAGACTGTCTCTCTCGCATGTGCACTCACTCTCTTTTTTTTGCATTTTATTTTATTTGAAAGGCAGAGATAGTGTTTGTATGTGAAATAGCTTCTATCTACCCAGTATGAAGCAAAGCACTCCATTTAGATCCCCCATGTGGGTGGCAGAGTCTCAGGTAACTTGGACCATCTTCCACTGCTTTGCCAGGACACAGTAGCAAGGAATGGCTCCTAAGTTGAGTAGCCAGACTCAAACACACTCCCATACAGGATGCTGGCATCAGAAGTAACAGTTTACGCCCAGTACCATACCGCTACCCCCTCCTCACGCACATGCACACACATACACGCGTGCTCTTTTTGTCTTCTGAGACACAGCTACTCACAGTGTGGTCCACAGAGCAGTCATGTCAGGACAGTAATGAGAGCACGTGCTCAGAAACATAGATTGACAATGCTTCAGCATTAAAGCACATAATCTTTGATTTTGTTTGTGTTTGGGGTCATAAAAGATTGAAACAGAAAAACCTCACAGCTATTCCTGTGCTGCAGTCTAATTCCAAAGCAAGGAATTAGAGTGTGGGTGAAATGAGGCTGTCAGAGTACGAGCCTGAATGCTTTGAGCTGGCATTATTATGTAGTAGGTGATGCCACTGCCTGTGATGTTAACATCCCATGTGGGCATCGAGTTGAGACCTGGATGCTGCCCTTCCAATCCAGCTGTATGCTAATGGCTTGAGAAAAGCAGTGGAAAAGGTGGCCAATGTACTTCCACGTGGGAGACCTGGAAGAAGCTCTAGGCTCCTGCCTTCTGCCTGTCACAGATTCAGCCCTGCAGCCATGTGAGGAGTAAACCAGCAGATGGAAGATCTCCCTCCCCCACACTTCCCTTTTACTACCCTCCCCTCACCTTTTCTCTTTCCCTCTCCTTCCCCTCTCCTCTCCCATTTCTGCATTTCTAAAAAAAAGTAACTGAATCTTTTAAAAATACATTTTTATTTGAAAGGCAGAGTTACAAAGAGAGAAGAGACAGAGAAAGATTTTTTTTTTCTCTTTCTCAGAGAAAGATTTTTTTTTCTTTCATCCACTGGCTTACTCCCCAAATGGCTGCAGTGGCTGGAGCTGAGCCAGTCCGGAACCAGGAGCTTCCTCTGGGTCTCCCATGTGGGTGTAGGGGTCCAAGGATCTAGTCCAGCCTTCATTGCCTTCTAAGGCCATAAATAGGGAGTTAGGATTTGAAGTGGAGCAGCTGGGATTGGGACCTGCGACCATAGTAGGGTTCTAGGGATAGTAGCTTGTGAAGTGAATTTGTCTGAATCTTCTGGTTTTGGCTTTGTTACCTAATTCTTGTTTCTAAACAGATGCGGAGAGTGTAAACCTAGATGACTATAACATACACGTCATTGCAAGCGTGTTCAAACAATGGCTTCGGGATTTGCCCAATCCACTCATGACTTTTGAACTCTACGAGGAATTTCTTCGAGCTATGGGTAAGCATAGGTTTTCAGGATTATAGGGAAGGCCTACGTTTAGGGAGGAAATACCATGATGAAATTATCCTGGGATTTTAGCCTTGCAGATCCAAAAGCTAACAGTCTGACAGTCCATAAAATATCACCAGTGTATATGATGTTTTACAAACATATATGGTAGTATTTCAGAAGTTTTTCATGTGAGCCATATTATTCCTTGTCAGAAAGAGATTGGAAAACTAGGGTTTTTAAGCAGCTTAAAAGATTGTTTAAAAGATGTAAGTCTTAAATAAGATCTCTGTGAAATCTGGCTGTCTACATCTGTCCGGCTGCTAGGTTGTGCAGCTTGTTCTCTGAGTGCTACAGGTGTGTGGGATGTGAGGCAGGCCAGTCTTGGGATGTGGGTTCTTTCCTCTGCTGCAATCATGGGTCATGGGGCTGAAAGTTAAAACTCAGGAGACTGCTTATGACTGCGGAGGTCCAGCAGAGAGTCACGTGGTAGCAGTGGTGATGGTTCTGCAGGAATGTCCACCTTCCCTGACACTGACTGTAGGGGAAGTTTTTCCTGCTCCGTGGCATCTGCCCAGCAGGAGAAAGATGTGGCATGTGTAAGAGGGGATACAGGGTCTCGGTCGCTGCTGTTGCTGTTGTAGGCCTTCAGGAGAGGAAGGAGACCATCCGCGGGGTGTACTCTGTAATTGACCAGCTCTCCCGAACTCATCTCCACACACTGGAACGCCTCATCTTTCATCTGGTCAGGTAACTTCAACAAGCAAGGGCATGTGGGTAGTTTATTTTGGATGTTGTCAGTTAATGAAGAGCTCCTCCATTTGGGCAATTGACAAGAATTTGTTCTTTGTTCTCCTGTTTATAAAGTCAGTGCTTCAAACCAGCTGTTTGAAGCAGAAATCCTCAGCTGAGCTGAACAGCATGTTTCTGGGCCCTGTTTGAGCCACGCGGCAGCTTCAGCCTCTGGGTGTCACCGTGTGACATAGCCTGTTCTCTGTGTGCGCCTGCACCGTGAGGGATGGGGTTGGGTAGTGCTAGCCCCGCAGAGATGCTTTAGGAGTGGCTTCTTCCTCTGAGGAGTTGGGAAGAGAGCAGATCTTTCCTTCTGTTTAAGTATCTCACATGATTGACATGTTTTTTGGTCTCTACCCTGTGCATAGATAGGTGCTAGCCAGCGCGGGGGTCAGGATCCCTTGGGGAGCTCTCTGAGACTTAGCTTGCCTCAAGCCAGGAACAGAGAGTTGGAAAAAAGGTCCTTCAACGTGATGTTTGTATTCTTCCAGTCATGTGCAGCTGCTGCCATGTTATCCTCGCGCTTTTACCTCTTTTGTTTTTCTTTTTTATTCCCTTTTCACTTATTTTTTGTTGTGTTTCTTAGGATCGCTCTACAGGAAGACACAAATCGAATGTCTGCTAATGCTTTGGCCATTGTGTTTGCACCCTGCATTCTCCGCTGTCCTGACACCACCGACCCACTGCAAAGTGTGCAGGACATCAGTAAGACCACCACGTAAGGCCAGCCCGCCATGTCTGCAGGGCCTCCGAGACTCCTTGTGGAGTTGGCGTAATCGCTTTATCCACCTCTCAAGCATAGAGGATGGCTTCATCACATTTAGTCTCCATAACAGATTACAGGATATTGTTGTGTATTCCAAGAATGAAGATGAAAATGCTTAGATTGTTTTCAGCTGAACAGCCTTAACTTTGAAGGATCTGATTTTTCTTTAGGGCTGCTTATAGAATCAAATAAATTTTTAAATTCTGGTTTGCTAAATCGTGCATACATTATATTTTCCTGTAACCAATTCTCACTGTAGTCTTTGGGCCTGTTTTTCACCTTGGTCTTTCCTCTCAGGCTTCTACTTTTCCTTCCTAGCACTAACTATAAAAATAACTTTAAATACGTCAGTCCTTGGAGAGTCTTATTCAGTTGCTCCTGAGGTGTAGTGTCACCGTGGAGTGTGTTACTTTGTGCAGCCACAGCTGTGAGCCATTGTACCAGCCTTGCCTCTGGACTCAGAGTGAGTCTCTTCCTCCTCAGCCAGCTGTCAGTTAGGTGAGCAGCACTTTGTGGGTGGTAAAACTGTGCAGTTTACTTGTTGTAACCGTTCTCTCCCCTTCCTCCTGTTTCAGCTGTGTGGAACTGATTGTTGTGGAACAAATGAATAAATACAAGGCTCGCCTCAAAGACATCAGTAGCCTGGAATTTGCTGAGAATAAGGCAAAGACCAGGCTGTCGCTGATTCGCAGGTCAATGGTAAGGTCACGAGGTGAAACCACAGGGGAGGTGGATGCTTCCTTGCAGTTTCGAGTGTACATTTGTGATGTTTATAGGAATTTTCAGCATCTTTCACAAGAAACATAAAAAAACAAAATCACCAAATCTCAGGGTGCTATGATACCTCATGCTTGATGTGTTACCTGCTTTAGGATTGTGTGCAGAATCTATGTAATTAAAGGTGCACAGTGTTGTACATAACAGTGTGAGTAGTTTAATAATCTGCCCTGTTTTCTTTTCCTGTGCTTTTTATGAGGAATGATTCCACTCCTCACTTTTCCTTCTATTTCCTTGCCTCTGTCCCACCTCAAATCCTATGTTGGTCTTGCCCAGGACCCCTGAGAATAGAGACCTTAGCCACTTGCAGCTAAATTATTTGATTCATAAGAAAATGGAATTCCATATATGAATATTATCATTAGAAAAAGGTTTAGTACTGTAAGCTGTTAAATCTTACTAAAACAATCAGTTATTTCCTCTGTTTGCCCACTGTTCATTAATGTCTTCTTTTGTAACCATGACCTATGTAGAAGTAACTCCAGTCTCATCAGCTAATAATCAGTGGGGTATGCACACCTGCAAAACTGCTGCACTCAAGTTTAATTTCTGTTCATCTGCTACCCTTCCACTTGATTATAAAATGAGACTTGGCAGTTAATGCCTGCTGCAGGCCCCCAGTAACTCTAAAGAGAAGCGGCCTCCCTGGCATTGTGCTTTGGTCTTAGGGTCCCAGCATACTTCATAGCTGGAGCTAAGCTAGTAGTGAAGTAACTGCATGTCTGCCCTTGATACAAAATCAAGGCTTGCCACAGTATGCTGGGTGCATGAATGAGCACAGACCTTTTTTAGACAGTAAAGACATGAAATGAATTTACCACATGATACTGTCGAAATCTTTTCTCTCCACAACTGAAGGCAGAAGCCTCATTTAAAAGCAGAGCTTCCCAGTAGTGTGACTTTTCATGGGCTCAGTCGTGAGAGGTCCTCATAACGTCCTTCACTGCAGAGCCACCTCTTAAAGCAGGTGGACTGGCTGTGCTGCTTCACTGATGCTACAAAAGATGGACATTGTTCAGTCCATTAAAAGATGAAACCTTCTCTTTGAATGGGGCAATGACGTGTGCGTTCTAACCTTCTGCTTTCCTTTCCATGTCCTTCCTAATCCAGAAACCTGTACTAATTGCAGTTAGATTTATGAGCATTACCCGCAGTTCAGTCTCGGTATGTATTAAACTGCAGTGCGTCACGGCCACTTGACATCATTGTCTCCCATTCACCCAGGAGTTGTCTGCCCTGTCTGTCACTCATGCCTGTCTGCCCTCCGTGTTCAGCCCTACTCAGGCTCACTTTGGACCAGCCTTCTCTTAACTCTTTCTTTAGATCCTTCACTTTTCTTCCTCTGTACTGTACAGGTATATACTATCCATTTAAAACATGGTATTTTTTCTCCTCTTTGTCAGAAAGACCTCCCTTGAAAGCATTGAGTCATTAAAAAGGTCAAAGTTGGAAACATCGAGGTACCAAATTAGTCTCTCTGTGCTCTGTGAGCTGTGTTGCCAGTGGTCTCCACTTTTTAATTTGAAATATGTATTACCACATGGAATATCTTCCATCATTCATTCATGTCTGTGACTCTGATAGTGTCTTCTCAGATGTAGAAATACGACTCTTGTCTGTTTAATCAGAGCAACAAATAGGAAAGAACACATTGATATGCCTGGTGCTAGACTTAATATCAAAATATAGCAGAGCTGGTGCCTGTCTTCAGTTCTGTTGGCTTTACTCTTGATCGTAGCCAAAAGACCAAGAAGCAATTAGTTCTGTTGGCGTTAGAAAAAAGGAGGTGAGAAATGGAAAGCTGAGCAGCCCAGGTGGACCCATTTGATGTGAAATATAAATACAAAGAGACTTTACTTTTTGTCTAATAATCTCTCAACTCTATTCCCCACTAGATATCAGCAACTTGAACAGTATTTCGTCACTATTTCGTGATTTTCAGATATTTCTCTTCATATTCAAGCTTCAGCTGCAGGCTTGATGCAGTGCTCTTCTCATTCTTGCCAGGGCGGACTAGACCTTAATCTGGCGCCTACAATTTTGGGGGGGAGGGTTTGGATAGTTTCTGTTGGTCTCCCTCTTGTTCTTGTCTCTTTCTGGTGTTGATGCTGGGAGGGGTGATGGAGTAGCGTTCAATGGGGAGGTGTCTCAGCGCCGTGCTAGAGGGAGGAGTGATGGAATAGCATCCCATAGGGAGTGATGGAGCAATGTGCTCTGTCAGCTTGCCCTGGTGACTGTGAGTGCAGTCCTGCCAGGAGGAGAACTGCTCACTGAGCCCTGACTGCAGGGACGCTGTCAGACCCACAGGGCAATGACAGGTGTTTGAGAATTCTGGTATTTGAAAGCTTGAAATTCTGTCACAGATAGCAAATATAGTAATGGCTACTTGAAATGATAGGTTCCCTTCATGTAACTTCAAAGAAAATATTGACAACACACCAAAAGTCTCAGTAATTCATGCAATTCCACAAATAATCTTTCCTGAGAAAGCATGGGTATTTTTATGTGTACTTCCATTTTGTCCAACAGAAAACAACAGATAGTGAAGTCAGTGGATAAAAATTAGTAAGATTTACACTTGATCAGTGACAAACTAATTTGACTTACTACTTGTAAACACATGATGGCAAAGAGGTAGTATGACTGCTGTTGACATTTGGTTCCATTGCTAGGATTCATTATAGGTACCAGCAGTTTACCAGCTGTGGGTTAACACTTGCTTCCATGTAACTAATATAAATGTCAGCAAGTGAAAAAGGAAGTAGTATCTTAGTATCTTTATTAAAGTCATTTTGAATTTGGATCCTTTGATGCAGTCTTGGGGACATTCCCACATCGCTCCTCTTTGAGAGGACTATGTGTGCATGTCAGCTGCCGTCTTGCTGCTCTGCACAGCAGGATTTGGTGAAGACCATTTCTGTATATAGGACCTAGGGTGTGATTATTGAGCAAACCTGTGTACCTCATATAATTCTTCATGAAATAAAAGAACCTGTCTTTAAAAAAAAAAAAAAGCCTTGGGGCTAAAGACTTCTCTTTCCCAGGAGAGTAGGTTCCTTAGGAAATAATCTAGTAACTCGGTTTCTTCTTGCTTTTGTGACTTCACAAACAGTATGCAAGTGATCTCCTGTCTTGGCTGTTTGGAGAGGAATTTCATTAGGATTATGCATAGAGTTCTGTCTGGTTGATACAAAATTCCTCTTGCTTTCATAGTCAACCCCTGGACAAAGCGCAGTTCCTTGGCTTTCTTCCTGAGAGAACTGTGTGTCCTTCCCCGCACGGCCATGAAGTCTGTTAAGGGTGGGACAGTCCGATCCCCCATCACCACCAGGACCCCCTTTCCTTATTCCCACGGGACTCAGTTGACTTTGCCTAGTGGTGGTCATCTTTGTGCCAGTAAGCCATACCTTGCCACTGCTTCCTACATCCTTTCTCATTCATGAGCTTGTGGCAACTTAAAAGAAACCAAGCCTTACACCTTGTGATTGGGACATCTTCTCACTTCATGGCTACCTCCATATGAGAAAATGGAAGATTTAGGTCCTTTTGAGCATTCCCTCAAGTAGAATATATTCAGTTAGATGTTCCATGTTAAAGCATTTTACTTCCATTATGTTTATTATAGTATAGGAAGCTTACTATGCACTGGTCTGTTTCATCATTTATTTTATACCTAAATCAAATTATAAAGCTTTTTTGTCAGAATATCATTCCTAGAAAATGATATTATTAGGTCGGGGGGCAAAATTTGTGTGGCTTACCCATGTGGAACAGCAGTCTCTGTTGCCAGGTACAAGATCTGTGGCTGGGAACAGGCCTTGTTGGGAAGCTATCGGGACACCCCGGCTGGGTTGGGATTTCCACTAGTGAATATAAGAGCCAGCATGGGGGTAGTGGACTGGGCTGGACATGGTTGCAGTCTCCCTCTGTGTGAGTGGGGACTGGGTCTGGGGAATGCCAGACTGGGCTAGACTCCAGCACACACTATATTCATTAGAGCCAGAGTGGGTGTAGAACCGGCTGGGTTAGGTCTCATCTCCCACTGAAGCACGTGAGGGCTGTGTCTGGGTGTGGACAAAGTGTGGCTGGGCTGCAACACCCAACAGTAATGCGCTGGTTGGGCAAGCCCTCTGTTCCTGCCAGGACAGGAGGTAGACAAAGTCAGTCTGGACCAAGGACCCAGCAGTGTGTACAAGATCTGTTACAAGGAGGTGACCTGCTAGAGCAGCTTGGGGAACGCCTTTGTCAGGACACAGACCCTGCAGGTGAGTGTAAGAACCAAGTCAAGGAGCTGTGCACATCAGGCCAGGTTACAGTACTGGCCAACATACAATGTGGGTCAGGTCTGAGTGGTGGGCCACTGGCAGAGCTGAGGACCAGGACAGGGTGCAGGAAGGGCCAGGACAGGGGGCTGTCTGGGCCGGGATAGGCTACAGCCCCACCATCAGGAGCTGGAACTGCGGGCAGGCTGGACTGAGCCAGGCTGAATCACCTGCTGGTTGATGCCAAGGTGAGGTGAGCCATGCCAGTCTGGGGGCAGTGGGTCCTGGAACCATAAGTTCCAGAGTGGAGGGCCTGGCAGGGCCGAGGTCACCTGGCCTGGGCCCTTGAGTCCGCCTGCAAGAACTGGTCCTCTTCAGTGGAAAAGGCAGAGTAGTGTACAGCTGGCCCAGATCCACAGAGAGGTTATGGCAGCCCACTGGGGTCTCCAGAAGACATCTGTTACCATGGCAGAGGAAGAACAGAACAGATCAGACAACTATCCCAGTCCAACAAAGACAGCAAACATCTGGGCAAATGACGACTCTAAGGTAGACTCTTTCAGCCAATGGACATTGCAAGCATTCCTTGGATCAGCAGAACCCTCAGAGTGTATGCCACATCAGGACCCTGGGTCGACATTGCGTGGCTGTTCCCCATCCCTGGGTGCTGGGGTAGTTGGAAGGCTGGGTGTGGCTTCTCCGCTTGACTCTCTGCTTCCCCCCAGATACAGGGAAAAGAAATGGACAGCTTGGAGAGAGTGTTCACACCCACTTTACCTTGATCCTTATCCTTCCCACCCTAATCAACTGTGTAAAGCATCATATAGGATTAAAAATAAAATAAAAATAAACAGTGATCAGTCAGACCCAATGAAATCCCTGCCCTTGGTCCCCCATGACTGCCGCCTTCTGCACCACTGCCCTTAGTCCCTTGTGACGCCACCTTGTGCACCCCTGCCCTTAGACACTGTAGACTTTCCTATGGCAGCAGCTCAATGTCTTTTACTGGCTGCAGGAAATGCCTTCTCAGTAAATTGTCAGCAGGGCTTGTAAGACCACTGTCTGCTTTTCTGGTTTTTTGTTTGTTTGTTTGTTTTCCTGTTTCTATTTGTCTGGTTTTCTATTTGAAAACAGAATAGATCTTATTGTGTCCTCTCAAATCTCTGAAGTTATCCACTATTTTGCCTTCCTCTCCTCTTCCAGATTCTGGATTCTTTGTCTGACCTAACTTCTAGTTCACTGATTGCACCCCTTCAGTGTGGTTCTTTGCAGTCTACCTGAAGGCGACAGTGTATGGGATTAGTGGGATGCTATTTTCTGTGTTAGTTATTTACCTTGTCTTGTCTACTTTTTTGCCAGGTTACCTTTGATTGGGCATCAGATATAGTATTTGAAAAAACTATCGATAAAAAGATTTGAGCCCCAGCGAGCCTATTTCTTCCAAAGAGTAGATAAAGTACTTTTTCCCAGGTCCCAAGGCGTTGGCAGTTGAGGATTACTTGAATCCAGCTGCCTAGACCATTCCTGTGTGTTGAAGCTAAGCTGTGGTGGCTGTAGGGGCTGTTAACATCTCGGCCCACTCTCTTGTATAGGCTGCAAACGGTTGGATCCCAGTGTCGGGCAGGGAGGTTTTACCAGCCTGCAAGCACGTCCTTGGACGGTTATGGATTCCAACTTCCGTTTTATGCCCCAGGGTTGCCAGACTTTTCCACAAGAATGTCCGTATTTCAGGTTTATAGACTACAGCGTCTCTGTTGCAGCAGCCGGCTTTGCTGTTGCCTGCAGAAGCAGCTGTGGACAGGCAGCAGAGTGTGTTCCAGAAGAACTGCATTTGCAGAAATGGGCACTGGGCGAGACTGGGCCCCTAGGCTGTCGTGCTGCAGCTTCAGCTGTGATCCGTCCAGAGCTCTCTCAGACTTGGGCTGCTTCTTTTGAAATCTGGATTGGCATGGGACGCTGGCCGAGCCTCTCCCTGGCCTGCCTGGCTGACGCGCAGTGCTTTCCTTTCAAGCATGATGTTTGTATGTTTGGTCTCATCATGTTCTTTCCTCATCCCAGGGTCAAAGTCATTGAGCACTGTTGTCCAACACCAGAACATTCTGTGGAATTGGATGCTCTGTTGTCCTTGTTCATTGTGGAAGCCATGAGGTGCCAGTGGCAACCAAACACTTGGAATGTGGCTAGTGTGGCTTTAGAACTTACGTTCTTGCTCTAATTTTAACTTAACCAGTCGTGTCTGTGTAGAGTGTATGTAGCTTGTATTAAAAAAAGAACCTCGCCCCAGCACCCTTACACTGGGCTCTTACCTGTCACCCACTGAAGTGTCCATTTTCCAGTGTTTTTAACTGAAGCATGTGGGTGTACGGTATCTAACTACCCCAGGCCTCACAGAGCGTTCTCATTGATTCCTGGCATTCACCTGATGTGGTGGAAGTTTACCTGTTAGCCCTCACGGATCATGTGAAACACAGGCAGCTTCTTGATTGACTTTCTGACATGAGTTTTTTCTCCCCTAGGGAAAGGGACGTATCCGCCGGGGAAACTATCCGAGCCCATCCTCTCCTGTGGTGGTTCGATTGCCTTCCATGTCTGATGTCCCAGAGGAGCCTCTGAGTGGCGAGGCCGCCATGGACACTGACCTCACTGAGCAGCAGCAGGCGGCCATGCAGCAGGAGGAACGAGTACTGACAGAGCAGATTGAGAATCTGCAGAAGGAGAAGTGAGTGTCAGGAAGTACAGGGGCCACTGACTATCTCTTCATTTCTTCCCTTCCATCCTTTCTTTCCTTCTGTGTATTAGATAGCCCCTGTGTATCACACACTCTGTCAGTTGATAAAAGGAGATAAAGGTGACAGGCACAGTCTGTTCCCAGGGGAGAGCAGGGTGAGTGGGATGAGGATGTTTTCATAGAGTGGCAGTCTGAGTTGGGGCCTGCTGACCTATGGTGTCCTGACAGGCTGCAGGCCACCTGCCAGGAAGAATATAAATATCCACACTGAGATGGAATCTTTCCCAAGAATGGGCAGTAGCAGCAGGTGCAATGCGATGTGTCCCAGTCAGAGGACATGGGTGTGATTCTTGGCTCCAGTTCCTGTTCATGCAGACCCCAGGAAGCAGCAGTAAAGGCTCAGATGGTTGGGACCCTGCCACGCATGTGTGATACGCAGATTGAGTTCCCAACTCCTGGCTTCACCTGAGCCCAGCCCTGGCTGTTGTGGGCATTTGGCTAGTGGGCCAGATGATGGGAGCTCTGTTTCTTTGCCTCTCAGAAAAGCAATTAGCCAATTAGTTAAATTAAAAAAAAAATCTTAAGGGTTCTTTGTTCATGAGTTCCTGGAGCCTAGTTAGGTAGCAGCCAAGGCTCGGCTGTGGTGAACGTGATGCGCAGTGTGTGCCCAGGGACTGACGGTTTCTATGGGAGTACTCTGGACAGAGCCCCTGACTTCACTTTGATCTGGAGGAGTGGAGGGATGGAAGGATGGACAGGAAAATTCTCTAGGACCAGACAGTCTTTCCATGGCAAGGGAGAAGCATAAGCCATGACCCAGAGATGCCAGGGGGGCATTGCAGAAGGGAGTGGGAGAGACTCCTTAGGAGGATGGCCCTCGCATCTCACGTGTAGTGAAGAGGAAGTGCTGGAGGAGAACGTCCTCAGCTGTAGGTAACTGCCTGGTTGCCTGGTCCTTGACTGGTGTTATGCCATGGAAGGAAAGCAGCCAATTGATGTTGGGCATTCTGGGCCCGGTCCATGTGAACTCTGTGCTAACTACACCAGTGTGCCAGCGTAGTTCCTATTCAAAGAAAAAAAAATCTATAGTGATGTCCTCCTTTCATTCTTGTTAGTGGTAGCTCGCATCTCAGTTTTTCTCATTAATCCTTAATAAATATTGTTGATCTTTCCAAATTACTAGCTTATGATTTCATTTTTTATTTTCTCTTGTATTAATTTGAAGGTAATTAGCCTTGTTGCATAAATAGTTTATACCATTCATGTGAGAACTTTGTTCTAATGGGAGCATATGAAACATTAAACAATGTGATACACTATTTAAAGAAAGATCTTATCCGAAGTGTGGGAACAGTGTTAGTGACCGGCCTACAAAGGAACCTTAGCATCAGTTTGAAGCATGTTGGGATGATGTCAGGCAGTAGTGAAAGAGCAGAATGGGAGCCAGTCCCAGGAAGAAGCCTCAGGCAGGGAGCGGACTTGTTAAAGAAGAATGGAGAATACCATGGCTGAAGGGACCAGACCGAATCCAGCAGCGTATGACTTCATCCACAGGCCTCCCTGTGTCAGGGCAGAGCAGGTGGAGATCTGTAGCCAGCTGGCCCAGCCCCAGGACAACCATGCAGGGGCCGGAATGGAAGGGGCCCTCAGGTGAGCTGGCTGAGGAGCTGAGGTCTAGAGGAGGAAGGGGCTCTGCTGGCTTGTTGGGAAAGGTCTCAGGCTGCAGGGCCTCTCTTCTTCACTCCATGCTCAGTCCTACTGGGATCCTAAATGTTCTGTCTTTTGTCACCCATTAGTCCCCTTAGCTTCAGCCTTCACCCTTGTCTTGGCACATGAGCCCTCATTACCTGTGTTACTGGTGCCCCCACCTGCTCTCAAGTGCTTTCTTGTGTCTGGCAGGGAGGAGCTGACATTTGAGATGCTTGTGCTGGAACCCCGCGCCTCTGATGATGAAACCCTCGAGTCCGAGGCTTCCATCGGGACTGCTGACAGCTCAGAGAATTTGAATGTGGAGGCTGAGGGTGCCCTCTCTGAGAAGCCAGGTGAGCCACATGGCCAAGAGCAGGCTCCAGGTTTGTGTTGCGATGGAGGCATGAAGATTCGCAAGTTAAAATATTGTCTTTTGTTTTTGTTTAAAACTTATGTATTTTATTTAAGAAGCAGATAGAGAAGTCTCATTTTCTTGTTCAAATGGACACAACAGCCAGGGCTGGGCCAGGTCAGAAACAGGAGGCAGGAGCTGGGCTTCCACACAGGAGCACGGAGTGTGTGTTAGCAAGAAGCTGGAATCAAGCAGAGTGAGGACCTGACCCAGGTGGGCACCCCAAGCAATCTGTCAACCACTGTGCCAGACACCACTGATCTTTACACGAAAAGGTGCCACAGTCCTAGGAAATCCCCATTCTTTGTGACTAGCCCTTCAGTGTAATGGAGTTTTCTATTGTTTGTAATTTAATGGGTTTTTTTACACACACACAAAACAAACCGCCCAGTAAGCACATACATGTTGTCTAACTGGCCTAGGAGCGTTTCCTAAGGGTGGAAGCAGCAATGGTACCGCTGCAAGGAGGGACCAGGGGTGGGAGGAGCTATTTATTTCTTCTTAAAGATCCTATTTATTGAAAAAAAATATTCTATTTATTGGCTTGAAACAGTTTACAGAGAAAGGAGAAAGAACTTCCTTTCTTGTGCTTTGTTCACTCCCCAAATGGTTGTGCTGGGACTACGCTGGGTCAGGCCAAAACCAGGAGCTGTTCCAGGTCTTCCGTATGGGTTCAGGTGCAGGGACCCAAGTACTTGAACCATCTTCTGCTTTCCCATGATACTAGCAGGGAGCAGTTGGTGCCCACGGGGATGCTGGTACCACAGGAGGCAGCTTTACCAGCTATACCACATTGTGGGACAAGCTCTTTAAACTGGTGCTTGCCCCGGGTGACATGTCATACAGCAGATTTCCTTGATAGCTGCGGAATGGGCACAACAGCCAGGGATTTCTGATTTCTCAGCCAGGCACTGATTTCTCAGTGATGCCTGATGGTTGACTGCATGTGTGGACAGGGGAGGGGAGGGGGCAGTTACTGCCCTCTGTTACGGCATTGGCATCTGCAGAGGGTGCTGTTACTCAGTGCTGCCATGGTTTTTGTTCAGAGAGAAGCTCAGCCCTTATTGGCTCCCTGAAGGCCACTGGCAAGCCCAGTCCATCGAGCAAGTTGCGAAAGCAGCAGAAGCCGCAACCAGAAGCCGTGGATTCAGTGGACTCCTCGGTTCCTTCCTGTCCAGCTAGCACTGCATCCTCTCACGGGACCAGAAAACGATTTCAGATTTATTCCAAATCTCCCTTCTACCGAGCTGCCTCGGCTGGAGAGGCCCAGGAGGGAGTCCCGAGCCCCAGCAGAGTGCTGGAAGACAGGCCTCAGTTCATCAGCAGAGGAACCTTCAACCCTGAAAAGGGCAAGCAAAAATTAAAAAATGTGAAAAACTCACCTCAGAAAACCAAAGAGACCCCAGAAGGGACAGTCACATCTGGGCGCAGGAAGCCTGGGGACCCCGACTGCAGTTCGACTCCACAGTTAGCGCTCCTGGGGAGTCACGAGTTCATGGTGTGAGGTGGCGACTGTGTGTCCCATCCCCTCGTCTGCAGCTGCCCCTCCTGCGCGGGGCCCTGCCTGCTGCCTGAGCCTGTGGCTGAGACCCCTGTGGCACAGGGGAAAGGCCTGAGGCTGCTGTGGCTGCCGGGACTTGAGGCCTCACTAAACCAAGCCATCCGGAGCCTGGGTCAGTACAGTGGCCTTTGTGGGCCTGAGACAGTCTCTGACATTTGAAGGAAATGCAGAAATCTTTGTTAATCATGAATGCACAAGGCATTGGGTTCACTTTGGGATGGTTAGAAGCTGGAGTAAAAAATTATCTTCTTCCCAGGGTTTTACACAAAAACCTAAGTCCCCTATTTTAGGATTTTTGAAAAACAATCCATGTTCTATTCTGGAGAAAGCGAACAAACAGCTGTGTCCAGGAGGCACTGGGCATGTGAGCAGGGCTCAGGTGTTATCGGGGTGCTGGCTACAGCGTCGGCGCCATGCTCCAGCCAGATCCAGGGGTTCCTCCACAGGAGGGCTCCCCCTTGGTCCTCCAGCTTTCCTCCATTGCTGAGCCCAGTCACCTGCTGGTGGCCCTGCCCACCACAGATCCACACAGTGTGACCCTCTGTCACTTCCCCAAATAGTCCCATACACCATTGCATGAACAAGTGTTAGAGAGCTGCCAAAACGTGTTATGTTTTTAATATGATCTATCTAACTTCTATCTTCTTTCCTCATAATATCAGTATTAAATAGATGACAAAAAATCAAGGATGACTTGAAGCTATTTTTGTTAATATTCAGTGACTGAAGTTTACTGTAAATATATATATATATATGTATAGGATGCACATTTCTTTTTAACCTCCGCTTCCCTCCTTCCTCGTGCAGTTTCTTCCCACAGATGAGGGGCTGTGACTGGGCTGGAAAGAAAAAAAGTGAAGCCATCTTTGTCACTGCCATTGGTCACCTAAGTTACAAGAATACTTTAAGCATCTTGGCATTTGTGGCACTGGACATCTGCTTTTGCTATTTATGATATCTGAAAAATGAAACATAATGCCCTTCAGAGAAGTCCATAAAATGTTGATTCATACAGTCACTAAATACATCTGTGTAATGGCCACACGCACTCCTAAATAAGAGCCTGTGCCGTCTAGCCTCTTTTTTGCCCTTCCTGTCCTTGCCTGTTAGAAGTTAGGGGATGCTCAGTCTTGTGTTAGGACAGAGGCCCCTGGTCCCCAGCACTGAGCCTCCTGTGCTGCTTGGCGCGTCTGAGTCCCTCTGAATGGCAGCTGCAAGCAGTGGCCTGGCTTCTCCTGGCCGGGCTCCCTCTCTGCCCAGTCTGCAGACGGTGAGGCTCCTGCAGCAGAGATGGGCTTACGCCACACGAACACCTGCCATCCTGCCCTGGTGTTCCCAGAGCCCCTTGTGGGGAGGGCCTCTCCTAGAGGACCCCCACCCAGCTGTGGTCAGCATTGTGGGGACAGGGGAGCACTCTCAGGCACTGCTGCTCCCCACTTACTGCACGGTGTTACTAAAGCACTGTTGAAAGAGGCGTCACCCTTGCAGGGTGCTTTGCCAGCCCCCAGGAATGGCCCGAAGAACATCCTGGCACTTGGTTCTCCCTTGTAAATGTGCGTGGCTTTGGCCGTTTAAAAACTACTTACTATACTATAGGTCACTTTATAGAAAACTAGGTGATGGATGTTAAGAGACTTTATAATTTTGCTCAGGGACCTAAAACCTGATTTTGGATTAAAACTAAATAAAAACTATTGTTTTCTCCTTTAGTAGACTTGTGGACTTTTTTAGTCGTTTGGGAAGGCAGGAGAAAGGGGGGGAGGGTCCGCAGGGGTAGCTCTCCCTCTGAGGCAGAATAAGCCAGTCTTCTCTGAGCTGGCAGACATGGAGAAGCTGAAACACCAGAACTTGTCCCAGTTGTCACCAAGGTGACACTGTTACACTTAGGTTGAGATTTTTGGCCCTAATATGTGTCACATTTGTGGCTTCCTGTTTCTTCTTGGCTTTTTGGTGTCCCAGCAACAGGGGCAGTGCTGTATTTGCGGGCCTGCCGGTCTCGGGCCTCGTGGTCCCATCAAAGCAAGCATCTGGGAGGTAACGTGTTTAGTCTGCAGAGTTCTTCCTGCCGTTTAAATCGCTTTGCTATTCTGTTAGAACATCCAAGGAGACACAGGAGCGGTGGAAGGGCCTGCATCCAGAGTCAGAGCCTGCCCTGCAGGTGTCAGCTGTGTCTTCACTGTGACCGACCAAAGTGCTCCCTTCCCCGGCACTTCCTGAGCTTGAGAAGGGATTCTCAGGACGGGTGCAGAGTTGAGAGAATTCCGACAGTGTTCTTCACGCCTCCTTCCTTCTGTCCACCCTGCTGTGCGCACTCCACAGCCCTGGGCTCCTGGTTGTAGGAGTCTGCTGTCGTTGTAGACCACTGGAATAATCTGAACCACTTTTCTCTTGAACTGTTCCCAAGCAGTGAACTGAAGATTGTGGAGCTGGTGTTCTGGTTGAGACTGCGCTGAGGCCCACCTGGCCCGACCTCGCAGTCCATCCACCCCAACGCCTGTTGACTAGCCCTCTGGGCACAGATAAAAGTTGTACCTTTCGTATTTACTCCAGGAGAGGTATGGACTGCAGATTAGTATTATATTATTTTAATGGATTTAAAATTATTTATAAGTAAGCTGAGCATAAATTTTTAGAAGACTGTACTGTAAAAAGGCATCCTTGTAAAATATGCTGTGGTTTTGTTGTTGAATAATTCTGTAAGATGGTCTGTCACCCACGGAGCTGACGACGCTTACATTGCTGATGCAGTCAGCGAGGCTGCCACGACAGTTGGGGGAGATGTCCAAGGTGTGGCTGTTTGTCCCAGAATGCGCACAGAAGCAGCTGGTGGGCAGACACCACAGTTCATTAAAGGTCAAAGCTTGCAGAAGCAGTGTGTGGTTTGTTTTCTGATGGGAGCTCCCTCCGGCTCAGCCTGACCAAGCACAGAGGAAGGAGTGACCCGGAGGCAGGGAGAGCTGAGCTGGGACTCCAGCTGCCAGGGGTCAAGCCTGGACAGGGAAGGTTATGAATGTGGAGGATCCTCACCTGAAAGCCACTTGGGGAAACAGCCGGATCTGCCCAGGATGGCCGCGTTGCCACGCAGAGTCATCCTTTGTAGCACTGCTGGCTTGACCCGTGGCAGGGCAGCGCATCCACCCTGCACATGCTGAGCTCCCACTGGAAAGTGAGCTCGCCTTAGATTCCTCCATGGCCGTCAGCTCGATCGGGCTGTGAGCTTCCTGTGAGTCAGGGTAGGTGACACATATTCTCCACAGCTGCTGGTATTCCCAGCCTCCAACACCAGCTGGAAACTTGAGGCAGGAAGCCGCCCAGGTCACCAGCTTAGGTCCCAGCACTGCCACCGGGTGGCTGGCAGTTAGGATCAGTGCCTCCCAAATGTCAAACCAGGTCAGAAAATGAAATGAGGGGTGAGGTCGAGGAAGGACAAGAATATAATGTATTTCCCCTAGTATCATGTTAATTTGATTTAAAAAAAAATTAATTGGGAAGGCAGATACACAGAGGTAAGGAGAGACAGAACCATCTTCCCTCCGCTGGTTCATCCCCCAAGGGGCTGCAACAGCCAAAGCCAGGAGCCTCTTCCAAGTCTCCCATGCAGGTACAAGGTCCCAAGGCCTCAGGCCATCCTCTAGTGGGACCTGGATGGGAAGTGGAGCAGCTGGGACACAAACCACTATCCATATGGGATTCTGGAACGTGCAAAGTGGGGATTTAACCACTAGGCTACCTCTCTAGGCCCACATTTATTCAATGTTTAAAATCCTGAGACCCCATTTTTTTTTCATATCTTCCATAGGCTCTGGCATTTCCCCTCCCCAGATCTGCTCCTCTCACTGACTCGTCCTATACTAATGCAGTAGTACAGTCCTCCAAGTCGTAAGTCCGTCGTTCCGCTGTCTAAGCTTGTCTGACATTGTAGGCGTGAACAGTGGCAGAGTCCAGCAGCCTGTTGTCAAAACCCAGTAGTTCTGTTGGGAGTCCAGCTTTCATTTGGAAGTAGAGACACCTATTGCATTGTGTCTTCACTTGTGAATGTGATAGTCTCTATCACAGTTAATACACATCCTCTTGAATGAAAAGCCATAGAACAGAATCAACAATAGAAAAAATAAGAAATTTATAACAACATGAAGTTAAATAACAGTGACCAGTGTGTCACTGAAGAAATGAAAATCAAAAACCTCTTGAAGAAAATGCTACTATATGACCTATGTGTCACTGAAGAAATTAATAAGAAAAACTTTTTGAAGAAATTAAAATAAAACCAAAAATATCAAAATCCATGAGACGTAGCAAAAACACTACTGAGAGGGACATCTGTAATAGGTGCTTACAAAAAATCTAAATAAATGAATAATGCATCTCAAGAACTTAATGAAAAAAAAACACGAAGCAAAAAATGAAAAAGTCCACAGCAAAAATAAATGGAATTACAACTAAAAAACAACAATATGCATCAAGAAAGTAATTTTTTAAGATTAATGAAACACTTTTAGCCAGACTACTAGAGAAAAGCCCTATAAAATTAGAGGTGTAAAGTAGACATCTAAGGAACTTGTAAGGTGATCTTGCTGAATGGATCCCTTGGTCATTATGTGTCCTTCCTCTTCTGCTGCTTTTCACGTCATCCGTATTATCTGATATACGAGTGGCTATACTAGCTCATTTTTCTTTTCCATTAGCCTGAAATATCTTTTCCCATCCTTTCACTTTTAGTTTCCACTTGTCTTTGTTGGTGAGATGTGTCTTCCGTAGGCAGGGTAATTGGATTTTGTTTTTTAGATCCAGTCTGCTGATCAGTGATGCTTGATTGATTAATTTAGCCATTTACATTCAGGGATAATATCGATAAGCAGTGATTTAGTCCTGTCATTTTCATAATGGGTTGTTCATTGTTTGATTTAGTTTTCTTTTGTTTTATTGTGAGGCTCTCCATGTTTTCCTTTGGTTTTGCTAGGTGCTATTTATTTTATTCTATTGCGAGAACATCCTTCAGTATCAGTTGTAGGACAGGTCTGGAGGAGGAGTATTTTTTTTAAAAGATTTATTTATTTTTATTGGAAAAGCAAATATACAGAAAGGAGGAGAGACAGGAAGATCTTCCATCCACTGGTTCAGTCCCCAAGTGGCCACAACAGCCGGAGGTGAGATGGTCTGGTATCATGAGCCAAGAGTTTTCTTCCGGGTCTCCCATGTGGCTACAGGGTCCCAAGACCCTGGACCATCCTCTGTTGTTTTCCCAGGCCACAAGTGGGGAGCTGGATCGAAATGCAGAAGCCCGGACACGAACCAGTGCCCATATGCAATCCTGTTGCATGCAAGGTGAGGACTTTAGTCACTAGGCTACTGTGCTGGACCTGGCTGCAACAGTTTTAGGTTCCATTGGTGCCAGAGCTCTCCCCAGTTGGTATGGTCATTTCCCCCCTTCCCTCCCCTCATCCCATCTGTTCTAGCCACTGGCCAAGATATGCCACCTGTGTGACCATTAGGCACTAGAGCAAGGCCAAGTTCAGACTCCCTGAGATTTTGTATGTCTTTATCAAAATTGCACAGCCTCAGAGGAGGCTTCTGCTGTGAACCATCTGTGTTGAAAATGCCACTGTGACAGACACAGGGGAGGGGGGACGCAGGAGGGGGAGGAGGAACCAGAATCATGATGGGAGGGGGAAGAATGGGGAGGAGGAAGTGAAGCAAGGGTGCACTTTCAGAAAAATCCAGGCCACTGGTTCTGGTTCTGAGGTCCAGGAAGAAGCAATGCCCTCCAGTCTGACCTCCCCGAGGGAGAGTAGGAGCGCTGAGCTGAGCCTTGCTTGTCTGCCCTGGATCCCAGCCAAGAAACAAGTCCATTCTCTGAGAGCTTCCAGCTCTTGAGAAACAATGAATGAAAAGGCTGTTGGTGTGAGGAGGGTGTGCCTGAATAGTGTCTTGTCTCTGAAACACAGATCTCACTCAGTGACCCTCAGTATGGCTTCATATGGGGGTGCAGAAGCATCAGTTTCTGTCTGTGACGTTTCAAAGGAGACTGTTGCTACAGCAGCTTCAGCTGTCATTCACTGCGTCTGCTCTCTTGTTGGTCCAGGGCCATGGGGTTGCACATCTAGGTTTGTTAGCTCCATGGGTGGGTCCCTGTCACCAGTCACTTGCCCAGTGCCTGGACTCAGCCACTCATGCAGAGGTGGCCCTGCTCTGTGCTTCCAGGGGTCCAAACCTTGTTCTGTCTTCCATATGCTGGCCAGACTATCTGAGTGGTTGGACCTTGGCGTCTTTGTTCCCATTGCCCTGCACCTGAGGCCCTCCCTCCTCTTCTTTCTGCCAGACTCTCTCCAGGTCGCACTCAGGGGCTGTATGGACCTTGGAATCTGTCCACATTCTGTGATTGCTGCCGCAGGTGCAGGAGGGGAGCCAGGCTTACTCTAGACCCGACATGCCACTCAAACCTCAGTCCAGAACGGGAAAGGGCTGCAGGACCCATTCATGTCACCAAGCTAATCAAACCCCTTGGACAGGGAGCTGGCCAATGATAAACTTAGGCAGACATTCCTTACCTAAGTAGGACTCAAGCAGAGCCTGTGTCAGCATCTGTGTTGAGCGGTAGTAAAACCTAACATGTTCCCCAGCTTGCCCTTTTCTGCTCCCTTACCTCTTTCCTTGCTGCCCACAGAGTGAGCCTGGGAGTGATCCCCAATAAAGTCTCTACAACTTTTTA